TTTAAAAGGTTATGATCATTAATTTTATTTTTTGGCGATTCTTTTGTTACAGTTATTAAATTACAACAATGAAGAGCTTTTTAAATCATCTAAAACGACAATTTAATTATTTCGAAAAATTCATGATTAATATGATTGAAACTCTTCAAGTGAATCGTCATGAACTGCTCGACACTGAATGTACTACTATTTTTACTTTACCACTTGCCGATTCACAGATAAAGGTACTCGCCATCTAGTGGCGGAGACTTGAAGTAGTATCGTATTTAAGGGGGGAAAGGTACCTAAAATCGCAAAAGAAAAAAATTTTTTTTATTGACTTTTTTGAAAGGATTTTTTCTCAGCTTTCCACTACCGTGATCGGAATTTTAAAATTTTAACTGTATCGTGAAGTACAGCCTATTTAGTACCGTTACTTTTACGATTTTTTAGAAAAAATAAATGAAACAACTCAAAGATATATCGTTGCCATTCTCTCATGAATCTCGAGACTTTCATAAGTCGGTAGCGCCATCTATTGATACTCGTTTTATTCTTTGGTTAGAGTACACTAGACCAACTTTAATTCTGTCCGCTGGAACGCCGGAATTCCTATGCTTATACACGTTCCACTACTCTGCGGACCGGACAGAATTAAAGTAGGTTTAGTGTACATCATGCAGAAATTCGGAATAGGAATAATGTGCGCAGCAAAAGGCACATGCCTGCGCAAGCCTTGCGCAGCAATGTGACAGAATTTTTTCGATGCTCGATTAAGGGGGAAAAAATTATATTTTTAGCAATAATAAAAGTACCCAAACAAAGATAAGAACTCTAACTATCATTAGGTATATTGGGTATTGTGTTTCATATGATACATTTTTTTATACTATCCGAAAATTCCTTAAGTGCGCCATAATAGGGGGTTCTCCCCTATTCCCGCTGTTTTCGCAGTTTCCCCAACTGCGTGCATAATAATGCTACATTAATTCATTTTATAAAAATCTCCCAATACTCGAAACATAATGAACTTGGGCCGCGCCGGGGGCAGGCGTTGCATCGTCGTGCTCTATATAACATCAACATACATACACACACAGCTGTGTGCATCGCACGGATGAAACGAAGAATACGTATAAACCGATGAGGCGTGAACGGTTATAGCCATCATACGATGATGCGCCACGCCTGCGTGCAGTAGATTTAACGGCGACTCGCTCGAGTTAATTAGGCGAAAATTTGATCAAAGTGTATATAACGTTGACGATGATGATGACGACGACGACGACGACGACGACGATGGCGATGATGGTCATGACGATGATGATAACGATACAGCTTGCGTGTATATGCAGAAAATAGAGCAGTAAACGATGATCGCGCATATAATGCCTCGTTGTGTGCTCGTATAATATACAGCTGGAACATGGGCTCGTGCCGCTGAAACCCGACAAAAGAAGAGGAAGAGAGAAAAGCTCGCCACGGCCGGAACACGGTATCTAATTAATTTCGCCGCGCCACGATCGTCCGCGCAAACTTCGTGCCTATTATGTGCCCCTTTTAAATATTATATCATGTAATTGAATACAATATTATTTGCTCCAGTTAAAAAAGAAACATGTATCGATTTTTTTCAACTCTTATTCGCGTTAGGATGTATAATAGAATTGGGTCGAAATTAGAGAGTCTCGTACTGATCAGGAAGTGTAAAAAATGCTTCTCTCTCTCTCTAGCTCACTCGGACGCAGTCCCTTTTGCGCTTGGCTGCGGCTGTACGTTATATATCGTCGCCCCAGCGCAGGAAGGTATCTATTTCCAAGCTGTAGCAAGAAGGATACTTACTCGTGCGCAGAGGCAAAAAGGTATCTAATTCGAGCGAGAAGCAAAAAAGTAGCTAATTCAAACGAAGTGGCAAGAAAGTTTTGACGCGCTGAATTTAGGTTGGCAACGCAGACGTAAATGATAAAATTTTGTTTCGTATTAGAGCAAAAAAGAGGAAAAATATTTGAGCTAGTGTAATGATTTTCATCCATTTGTAATGCGAGCAAACAAATCAATCTCACCATGATTTCGACTCAATTTGCCACTTATGGAAAACTTTGTATGTTCTGAGAGGAAAGTAGAAGTTATCGGCTTTACATAACTTTGAATCAAATGTTGAATGTTAAATGTTGAAACAAAATATTATCATTTACGGCTACGTTGCCAACCTAAATTAGCTACTTTTTTGCTTCTACGCTCGAATTAGATACCTTTTTGCCGCTGCGCTCGAGTAAGATACCTTTTTGTCTCTGCGCGCGAATAAGTAGGGGAAAGCGGGGCACGTAGACTCACCTAACTAAAATCCTCAATATAAAGTTTGTAATAAGAATAAATGAAAATTTAAACAGACCAATATCAAGATGAGAAGTCAATGAATACAATGCAATAGTCAAAAGTCATAATTTTTGCATATTAATTAAATGACAACCAAAATAAAGGAAGCGTTGAAATCAGTGCTTCTTGCCCCAGCGTGGGTAAGAGTAACTGGGGTGCGGGGCAAGAAGAGCGCACTAGAGAAGTAGGTTGCTCATGCTTGATACTGTCTGCGCGCACATTGTTAATAGACGTAATTTGTTTATGAACTGAAAAATTATGAAAAAAGTTGAATACATAAACATGTAAGTGTAAATTTTTAGCTATGATTCAAATTTTTACAACACAAAATCTCTAAAATATTCAAAAAATTTTTTATTCGAAAAAAATCGAGTTTAGAGGATAATCCTCGAAATTTTCTGAGATGACCTTAGAAAATTAGATTTTCCGTAATTTCGGGAAATAAACAATCTTCTCCAAAAATATTGAAAAAATTTACGGATGTTTTTTAATTAATTATACAACTTATTCGTTCTATTTATTACTCAAATCAATCGTTTTTGCGATAAAAAATAATTGGATTTTTTTGTATAAACAATTAACTTCGGGAATGCCGTTTTGCTAGAAAAAGCTAATTTGAAAGTCTGTGAAAATTTCTGAGATACAATTACACTATGACAAACTTTGATCATATTTATGGAATTTTTCATCGTAAAACTTTGAAAATCATTTTCAGTTTAAGTTTTGCAGAAATTTTTACTGCTTGTTTTGTTTAGATATTCATAGCTTTTTTACTACGTTTTTAATCCTAAATCTGAACCCGGATTCGAAAAAGGCATTGAATTTCATACTATCATTGTGAAATTAATCGTTTTTGTATTGAGTTAATAATTGCGATCGGCGACGAGCAAAACAACAACACGGTAAAATGAGGTTAAGTTTGAACGAAAAGTCAGCAGACCGCCGTCACGAATCGTCGCAATGCCTGGCGTACCGCGACACTAATGCCCCGCTTCAGGCGCTACTCTTGCCCCATTAAGACATGTTTTTAAAAATTAAATATTTCATAAAATATTGCGTTTAATGAAATTTTGAAAAAAGCCTTTTCATCGGGAAGACATGACTGTTCTTATGAAAAAAAAGCGGTAGCATAAAAATCATTATCAAAAAAGATACAGAAGTGTGAAATAAGAAATTTTTGTAATAATTTTAGCGTATTTTTGTTTCGAGCTAAAATTAATAAAATAAACGTTTTTTCGCGTCGTTTTTGCATGCAATCGATAGTTACAAGTATATTTCAACAATATGTGGGGAAAAAATTTATTTAAAAAATCATTATCATTGAAAAAAACAAGAAGTCGTATTACCCCGCAAGTTACACTTGCCCCGCTCTCCCCTATCCTTCTTGCTACAGAATTGGAATAGATACCTTCCTGCGCTGGAGCGACAATATTATATACACTCGCGCACATCCTTCCACACATACGCACGTACTCGAAGGATAATCGTTCCGGGAGTGCTCTTTTCACCGTCGCCGCCGCCGCCACTGCAGCTGCACTGCACACACACACGCGTGCGACGGTGAGTACGAGCGGCTTCGTCGTCGTCGTCGTCGTCGTCGTCGTGTGTGGCTGCGGCTGTCGACGAAGCGGAAAAGAAGTGTAGGAAAAGGAGAGAAGAAAAAAAGTGAGCTGAAGTGTTTGAGTATATTGACAAAGAAGAGAGAGAGAGAGAGTCTCCAAGACTTCTATTTCTCTATCGCTATATATCATTTACTTTCCAATGTGGGGAGAAAAGAGAGAGAGAGAGAGACAGGTAGTGCGGTATAGTATTGAACAAATACACACACACACATAATGTATGGGACGAGGGAATCAATTTTATTTTCGCACACACATACAGCCAACGCACTTCCCGCGTGTACAGTTCTATATATACTATGCGCACCCACTGTATACGCGCTGTATCAACTGGTAAAGTTGATTCACAAAAGTTAACCATTATTACGCGCAGATAATGAAGATTAATTGCTCGCTTTAATTGCTTTTGTTGCAGTGTGCACCGTGGCGCACGCAGTCAGTACTACTGCCGCTTTTGTGTGTACTTTGCGCGCGCGATATGCTGCTGCACCGCCGCTTTATATGACTCCAAAACGGTTTTGAATTAATTACTCATTTTCGTTCGGTTCGCCCGACCGACTAGTACCACTACTGTGGGTCACGCGTGTATATTAAAATAAACGAGGCGCGCGATTCGATAAATATTGCAGAAACGCGAATTGTCTTTCGGCGACCTAGCGCAAATTAAGCGGGTTGTGATCGGGTTCTGTTTCATTGACGCGCGAAAAGTATGAACTCTCGAATAACTATAAATAAAGTTCGATATTATCGAGCGAACTGAAAATAGTCTACAACTGGCCGCGCGGCAAGATGTGCGCGCGGCACAACACAAACGTTAATATCACGAGGAGGGCGAGTAATGGAAGAGATTTCAACGCGCCGCGGCTTATATACCGAGAGAAAATCTGCCGGCTAGGCTAGGGGCTCTTTTATCTAACTATTTTCTTATTGTCTATCCGTATACAACTCCTTGAGGTGAAAAAAAAGATAAAACAACAGCAATAACAACAACAATGAGGGAGAGAGAGAGAGAGTTTTCAAACTTACCCAATTCCGGTCCGCAGACCCTCGGTATGACCTCGAGTATGGCGCTGCAGGAGGCGTGCTCGAAGCAGAGCTTCCTGGCGTAAAGGCAGTTCAGTATCGCCGTCGTCTTGTCCGAACCTGCGAACAAAAAGTGAAACCTCATAATACGCACTCTCGGATCGGATCATCGTTCAAGATGATTGTTTGAAATTATATCAATGTTAGATTACTACAATGAGTTCGATTCTGTTCGAAACCTTGCTTATAATACTTTTATATAATTTTTTTTTACTTTATCACTTGCAGATTCACGAATAAAGGTTCTCGCCATCTGAAGGTAGAGCAAAGTGTTAAAGACGGAGTGACAATCTATTTTATAAGAAATGATTAAACCGGAACGGTCTGTATTAGAAAACCATGCTTATATAACTAGACTTATATAATTACTTTTACTTTGCCACTTGTAGATTTACAGATATACAGGTGCTCGCCATCTAGTGGTTAAGTCTCAAACTGCTATTACTGAATGCAAAGTGGTTGAAACTGGTTTAATTCTTTTGGAAATAGTTGAATCGTCATTTTCAGGCCATTTAAAATTCTCTCATTAGTTCTAACATAATTATAACAAACAAACCACGAAAAAAAGTCAATCAATAATACTTTATCTTAAAAAATGTTAAATAGTCCTATTTTATGATCATTAAGCCACTATTCATATCGATCATCCGCATCAGAATTATAATAAGCTACATTATACGATACAGAATAGCTAATTAATATCACCCCGATCAGTCGAATAATCACTGCTATATCGCACGCGCGTATCATAATCATAGAATATATATTTGATTTCTACTCTCGGTGCGAGCTTAACTTAGCGCGCGCGCGATCACACATCTTTTGATAAATCAATCGTCACGAACACATAGCGATGATGCTCGCACGCAAAGTTTTACCGCATACAGCATATAGAGATACATTTTCCAGTGCTGCGTGAACACGTCATCGTCGTCGTCGTCGTCGTCGTCGTCGTCGTCGTCGTAGGATCGAGCTCGCTGCAGCAATTAGTCGAGCAAAGCTCGTCTTTAATCATTCAAATCGCGCGTAAAGTTCGATTGAAGAGGCGCCGCGTAGCGCACACGCATATATACGCAAGTTTCGAACTGTGCCATTATATTATTATATTAATAGCGGGTCGCGAGCAATTCTAAGCACCGGCCGCTCGAGGATTATATCGAATCGCGATCATCTGCAATTTTTTTTTCTTCGTCTCTTATATTAATTACTGCGCCGCGTCCTATGTATGCAGTGACGCGGCATCAATCGTAATAATCTGTATCCGATTGCGCTCGATCGCTCGGCGACACAAAGAAAAAAAAAACGGAAATAAAGAAGAAAGGAAAAAACGGATTTTAATCAACTTTCCGGCCTATCTCCTTTTTCGTCGATACGTATACGCAAGCGTTTCGCGAGGCAAAAAACATCTCTCTCTCTCTCTCTCTCTCTCTCTCTCTCTCTCTCTCTCTCTCTCTCTCTCGATATACGGTCAAACGGATTTTACTGCGTAGTGTGCCTCGTCGCGAGCTGCGCGTGTACAGTATAAACAAGGTTTGGCTTCGAACGAACGAACGACTCGACTGTCCGCGTATACTACTACTACTACTACTACTAACGGCGAAATCATCCTATTGCAGCAGCAGCAGCAGCAGCAGCCCCGCAGGAAGTAGAGAGAACAAAACGGGACAGAGAGTAGAGAGACAGAGAGGCAAGAGAGCAGCCGTTTGAATATTCGATTGCTTATAGGCTTTATTGATTGACAATGGACATTTGCATATACGCGCTCGATGCACACACGCGTACACGCATGCCTATATATATGCAATCGTGTGCATTCGTAGAAACGAAACATCACCGCCGCGGCACACTGTACCGATGCACGCACCAAACGATATAACACGTGCGGTCCGCGCTCAGGTATATAATATCGATTTTCACTTTTAACCTCTACGCGCCTACGTACACTCACACGCGCGCGCGTACTCGTCTATATAGCAGGTATACCTTTATACGTATACGTATACGTATTGCCTGCAGTTCGGGCTCGGGTACTACTACTATCGGGCGGCGGCACGTGTCCGTGTGTACATGGCGGCAGCAGTGCAACCTGGTGATGAGATAAGGCTGTTTGCATGCCGATCGTAAAATATTATTGAACGTTTCAGGTCCTTTTGCCCTTTTATTACTTTTGTGCCCGTTGCTAGTTGTTGTTGTTGTTGTTGTTGTTGAAAGCTGCAGTCGCCGACCGAGCTTACACACATACACACACGGACGCGTACTACTATACCTATCTATTATTATATTCGGCGGCGCGCACACTAATACCCACAGGCGAACGCAAAATATCCAGCCAATAAAATCGGTAAACTCTTCCCTTTCCGCACCTTCTCTCTCTCTCTCTTTCTCTCTTTATGCATATAAAGCTCGAGTGCCTATATGTGTATACGAGAAACATTTTACGATGAAATCTATATATACGAGCCAGTGCACGCGCCGAGTGCGTAACCATATTCTCAGCAGAGCTATAGAGCTTTTGTATTACGTGTATTACATACGACGAGTGCACTGACAGCTGTGTGTCATATAGAAATTTTTCGATATAAACTTATTACATGGAGCAAATATTGTATGCAACGTATCCGATATGTGTTGTACGTAAATAATTTTCATTTAAAGTCCAAATTCTATTTGATCGTACGCGATGATTATACACTTCTCGATTTATTTCTCTCTCGCTCTCTCGCTCTTTATATACGGTGTCATATCACACCGACCGCTTATGTGCGGAATATAGCATTGACGCGGTCAAGGTGTGTGCGGCGGAGTTATACGGAGAGAAGATCGAACTCGTTTTCACAACTCGGCACGCCGCACTAGCTTGTGACACCTATATCCATGAGCTGCAAGCTCGGATACTAACCCACACACACACACACACACACACACACACACAAATGCGCGAAGTTTAATTAACGGCTACTCGCCAAAAACCCAAGCCCGTCGATATATCTGTGCACGAGCCAAGCCGCTCGAAGTACGTGTGTATGTGTGTGTGTGTGTGTGGGTGTGTGGGTCTACGCCGTCACCCTCGCAGTTCGGTTTTTGGGTAATCGGCACGTTATATCTGCCGACGCCACTACCGCGCGAGCTACTATACATATACATATACATACGCGAGACCGCCGCGCGGCGCAAAGTTTGCAAGTCGACGCTACGATTTTCAAAGCTCGCACACATGCAGCACAGATATAGGTACGAGACACGCCAGGGCGAATAGAGACACATAGTTTGGCAGTGCGAAAGCCACGCGGGGGGGTTGTCCCCCCACAGCACATAGAATCCCATAGACGACGAGGCGAAGTAAAACAAGAATATCCTGGCATTAATCAGAATTTTGCGGAGCTTTGGCAAATTATCAGCGCGAATTCACGTGCGCGTCGTCTCAGCATACATATTATGCATAGCGAATATTGTATACTTGACACTATATAATATGTACCTCGATGTGTTGTCCGCATTTATACGTTGTACATACGTGTATATGTGACGTGTGCTCTACTGCTGGCACTCAATTGCGTAATTGGCCGCGTTATCGATGTCAGCACACGCGCAGCTCGCTCATTCACGTATTTACGTATATGTATCGTATTATCATAGATACACGTCAACGTTCTCTCTCTCTCTCTCTCTCTCTGTCCATACAGGAGCTATATTAATTAAGTAGTTATATTTCTGTCGAGGACCTTATGGGTCGTCACCTATGTTTCCAAAATCAGCGATATAATTCGGGGTCGAAAAATTCCCAATTTCGTCCTAAAACTATACGATATCGTCGCGCTGCCGTCCGCATATAACGGTGCGCGCCGCGAAAATAGTCCATATAACTGAATTGTTTTCTCTCTCGCCTTTCTTGCCCGCTGTAACGCGGTTATACGCGCGCGCGCGCGCGACAAATCGATCGGTGCGGCTCTCTTTCTTCGTTATAACTTGCCTGCGGTATACAGCACACACACACACATACACAAACTAGCGGGAGCGAGCGAGAGCCTAGCAATTAAAGCAAGCGATTTTTATCTCAAAGCACTGCGATTGGCTGCCGAAGCTAGCTTTACAAGCACACACATACACACACACACACATAAACACGAGTGCACGCGTAAACGTAAACGCGAGCGAAAAAGGATCAAAAGACCCGAGAAGCATGAGAGAGAGAGAGAGAGAGAAAAAGGGTGCAAGAGTATGCTAGAAAAGGGCCTCGAGATCGCTCGAGAACGATAGTATTATATGTTATGGCGCTGACACGCACGCACGCGGACGTGTGCCACCGCCGCCACCGCGGCACATGCCATTGTAATATCGCCGCTGACGAGAGTCGCATGCCAGACTTCGTATGGATGAAGAAAAAGGAAGAAATATAAAGTGGTGTACATGCCACTGATATTTTTGGCGAATAGTATTTGTCTGCAGAGTTGAAGCGACGCATCTACAGGGTTAGATGAGTCTTGAGTATTTTTTTTTTTAATTGTAAAAAATGGAAGCGACCCCTGATACAAAGACTCGGGGTTAATAACGGGTTGAAACTTTTAAAAATATATCATCATTGATTGAATTCTTTTTAGAGCTTTTTCTGTAATAATTGCGTTACAATTATTGAGGATATTTATGAATGACCTGAAAATGAAAATACGTTTGCTTCAAAAAATTTAGACAAGCTTTCAATTACTTTAAACGCAACAGTACAACTTTAAAAATTCACCGCTAGATGGCGAGTGCCTTTATATCTGTAAATCTGCAAGTGGTAAAGTCAAAATAATTGCATAAGTTAAAAACTGCGGAAATTTTATACTCCGAAAATTTCTGTGCCATCTCTTGCATCGACGAAATAGAAAAAGCTCGTCGAGCGAAATTTATCTAAAATAATTCTTATCGTCTAAAAGAGGCGGGAGGTAGTTCTCGGAGACACGTATGAGCGTAAAACTCGAGCGCGTATGCGCCGTATATACACGCGCTGATATATATTGAAACTGTGAAAAAGTGTCTTTCTATGTATACTAAGGCTTTCTTCTCGACGAGGTGCTTGA